TAAATGGTCGCCTAAATTGAAAACAATAATTGTTCTCTGATTATCTGCTTTGTGTCTAATTATTCACAATAGGGGAATCTTGAATACAATAAAATTTGTATTCACAATTGTTGATAGAATTGATATGTTAAATATGTCAATGAGCGAGCGATCCATTAAAATTCAATGGCTGCCCAAGTCTCATTTGCCAGTGTGTCATACCATCATACATGCCGTTATTCTATCGATTTCTCAACTCCAATTCTGATTAGTCGTTTTTCTAGGTCATTTGTGATCGAAGTTAGACAGGTTTGGTCCAGAGACGATAGTGTGTGTGTTTGTGTGTCTAGCTTCGATCTACTTATTATCAAACAGCTCTTTTTCTCTCAATTGTTACTAACTAAAATTTCAAAGGGGACTGTCTATAAAGTAAGCCTCCACATCGGTGAAGTTCTATCAAGTTGAGAACTTTCATCACCATTCGACGACACTTGAACTCCGAAGACACACACTTTCATCTAACCCGCAGTTCTGTATTGTTTAATCATTTTAAAACCAACTAGTCCCTTTTTTTTCATAAGTTTTGATAGAATAATGAGAAGATCAATTTTATGTCTTCTCACTATTCTATCATAATCTTTGTAAGACTAAAATCATATATAAATATAAAAGTAATGTCTATTCAATATACCATTTGTGATAACTGCCTAATATGATTGCGTGGTTTCATTCACTTGGGAAAATAGATGTGTGTATGGATGACTCTTTCTGCCAACGATTCATTGTTTGGCTTTTTGTTAATGTTGAATAATTTATATAAAAGCTGTGTAGTGTTTTTTGCTTTCCCGAAGAGTATTTTTAATGATGGGTAGTGAAGTAGTGAAACTTTATCAGTTGAGGTGGTTGGGACATATGTTACCTATGCCTAACCATAGACTTCCTCGACGAGCTTTGTTTTCCAGTGTAATAGTAGATTTGAAGAAAGCTAGGGGCGGCCAAACCCAAACATGGCAGAAATCCATGAAGTCACTGACAAGTGGATTGAGTCATGTTGGTAGATGTAGGCTACCTGGTCGGGGTCCGCGAGACGATGGTCACCGATTGTTAGAGACTTCGAACGACATGACTCAGAATCGTTTGCAATGGCACAGTGCATCCACTCTTTGTGTTCTATGAAATTCTAAGCTTATGCATTCCTCATAATCTCTATCCTTCTCCTTCGAAAGTTATCTTACTGAATTATACTTTTCGAATCATATCTTCGCTCCCTAATCTTCTCCATTACTTCTAATACTTTTATTATTGCTATCACTCTTGGATTGGAACTGACAGTTGCGTCTGTGTGCTGATGGGGCATGGCAACCTGAACTGATGTACTTAAGTACGGAGTTCTGCGTTGTATCTGTCTGTCTGTCTGTCTGATGGGTAAATCTTGCCTATCACTCGTTTTATTTTGTGTTGTCTTACATTTTCGTTAGTTCCCTCATTTCGTCTATTTAATTTTATATTTTATTTTGGCTACTTATAAGTAACTTCGTACGAACAGCAAAGTTTTTTTCCAACCGCATGAAAATTTGATATACTGAAGCGTTGTTCTTTTAAAATTCTGTCGAGATGTTAGTACTTTTATTCATTCGTCGTAGATCATGGTATAATTCAAAGACTATGGGATTGAAGCTAGCCACTATCAATCTCTGCTCAAAATGATTTTAACTTAATGGCATTATTGAGACATTACAGACACTGATGAATTGCACTTGTAAACATCAAAAACCAGTAGGAATTAGTGTCCGATTTAATTTTAGTCCATAGGAGTACTACTCAATGTACAGTCATTGTAAATATTTCAGTTCGAACCGTAATCTTCTCGATTAATGCTATTAATTCTACTATTATTGGATGTGAATTGACAATTCCATCTCTCTGTGCTAATATGATATGGCAACTTGAACTGATGTACGTACGTACGTACCATAACTAAGTGAAATGTTTCAGTCTTACTGAAGCTTAGACGTGGCTTCAAAAGATCTGGCTGTTAAACTGAGAGATCAGGGTGCAAACCCTGCTTGTGAAGTATCAGTCCCCACGACTTATTGTAGTCCCAACTAACACAGAGCTTAGGTGTGTAGAGTCACTTTTCAGCTGCCTCCAACTACCTGATATCAATTACCGTCTTTTTAGGCAAATTGGAAATTACTTATCCAGTCATTTTTAAACCTAAAGCGCAGTGAGTCATATACAATATTGAAGATGACACATCTGTTGGCTAACGTTTTCACACCATATCAGTCAGTCAGTCAGATGCAACGTAGAACTTCGTATGTAAGTACATCAGTTCATGTTGCCATACCACATCAGCACAGAGATGTAATTGTCAATTCAAATCCAATAGTAGAAGAGGTAGTAAAGGAATTAGAAGTAATCGGAAAGGTTAGGATTAGAAGATATTATTCAGGAAGTATGATTCAGTGAGAAAAGTTTAGAAAGTCAAAACTAGAGGTGTAGAACAATCCAGAAGATTAGGATTTGAGAGAACACAAAGCATAAATGCACTGGCGCCATTGCGAACGATTTTGAGCCATGTCATTCAAGGTCTCTAACCATCGGTGATTATCATCTCGCAGACCCCAACCAAGAGGTAGTCGACAATTACCGACATGGCTAAGTCCACTCGTCAATGACTTCATGGATTTCTGCAATGTTTTGGTTTGTCCGCCCCTAACTTTCTTCCAACCTACTCCTACACTACAAAACAAAGCTCGTCGAGGCAGTCGGTGGTTCGGCATACGCAAGGCATGTCCCAACCACCTCAACTGATGAAGTTTCAATACTTCATCTGTCGGTCTGCCATTCTTACCTAGTACCCGATTCCTAATAACAGCATTGCTCACTCGGTTGTCCCAGGATATACGAGCAATGCTTCGAAGACACCTATGATCGAAAACCAATAACCGACGAATATCGTCTACTCTCACTGGCCATGTTTCACAGCCATAAATTAGGACGGAGCGAACTACTGCGCAGTACACTCGTCCTTTAGTCAGCAAACAGATATCTCGCCTCTACACCATATCACCAGAATGAGACAAAATTACTAAAACATTATCAACTAGCGATGATAATCTGTGGCGCGCGTTACTTATACGGACAGAAATTATTAGTTTATAGCAGTGATTAGAATTTAGAATTTTACTGGCAGAATATGAAAGTAAAACCAGAAAGGCGGGAAACAATAGGGACTGTGAAAGCGACAACACATGGAAGATGTGCAAATAGTGTATGTAGTGTATTGTCTTCATATTTTACAAGATGCAGTGTGTAATATTGCGTAATATAATTTTCTCACCTACCCGCTTCTTTACAATAGTATCAGTAGCAGTAAGAAAAATTTCACTTGCAGACAATATCATTCGAGATGAAAAAAATGAATTCAAAAGATAAAATAATCACAAAATACACAGTTGAAATCATCGACCAATCATTGTTAGACAACAACCATTAGTAACCCGGAAGCACTGAACGGCCGTTCTGTCCTAGTATGGGATTCATCAGCAGCGCACATCCACAAACTCCTGCCACTCCTAGGTTTCAAACCTAGGACATTCGGTCTTGCACACAAACACCTAACCTCTGGACCACTCGACCAGCATCCAAAGTTAGATATTAACACCGTTGGATGATCTAAGGAAAGACGTCTAGTGAATCTATCTGCACCCTAACCTCCTAAATCGGGTCACCCAACATCTGCATTCGTTCGTTAACATGATTACGACACCAACCAGGTGAACTACATCGACCAACATAACGCAGTGCAGCAGTCAATGACTTGATGTTACTTAATAGTTTGGCTGCCCTCGTAGACTTATTTCAGTTTACACCCATACCCACTAACTCTGTTTCAAGTAGTCCATTCCTTTTAATTCCTCCACATTTTCACCTCAACGTTAACTGGCATAGATTTTTTATGGTAGTCTCTTGTGATTTGTATTTCAGTAAATGTCACATTTTAGTAAATTGTTAGTAAGCCATATGATTGTTGTACAAAATCACCTTCGAAATGAGTTGATCGTTCATACAATAAATTAGTCGTCCCACTGCTGGTTTCCCCGACCGAAGCTGCTACCTTGACGTGGTGGTCGGGCTTGACTATCGTGATGACCCAACCGAGCTATACTGGCTGGAACATATGTTCCTGAAGGTTCTACCATGCCAGGTAGGTCGATTCCAGAACGATGAGACTAAAAGCAGCTACTCAAGGTCTGAGGGCGAAGTCGTACTGCTGACTGCAGAGAGTTGTGACAGCAGTAAGGTGTTTCACTCGGGTAACCAGCATCTGTATCGATGCTGCCTTCTCAAAAGGAAGGAAGGGTTAGAAAAGGTCGACCCTACAAATGTCACACCTCACCTTGTTGCACGGATTTCCGTCTCCCTGGGTAAGGGTGCCCACTAAGGGCCTTTAAGAACGGAGCTAATCCTCAAAATACTTTTCATAAAAAGGCCGTGAGTGACCGGCCTGAAGCAGTTGTCCCTTGTACTCTGCGGTCACGCTCCCAGGTCTCTGAAACCAACACTAATCTATCTTCCCTTTCAGGTTCCTCAAGAAACAACCTTCCACGGTGTGGTCAGCCGGGAAGTGACAACCGCCTTCATACACGTAACAGCACAAGAGACCAAATCGATCAAAATCAAATCCTTTCTACACCCACACACACCTCTCTTCTCTCCACAACGAACTCTACTCACATTCCCTTTTCTCACTGCACCGCTAATGCAGACGAACCGAGTTCACGAAACGTCATTCCTGGTCTCTTGAAACCCCGTTCTAGACTACATGTTGGCACATTTAATGTACGGGCATTGTGTCAAATAGGGCAACAGGCTTCCTTCCTACGTTGCAACTGACTGACTGACTGCTGGTTTCAAGTCTCTGTATTCAAATACTTCAAACATCTTGTAATCAATGATGGTATATAATTACAATTTGCCGTGTGTTTTTTTTAAAAAAAATTTTTTCTATAAAGAACTGGTGGTCATTCAGATTGGAGAGTAGTACTGCGACTTGGTTGGGCCACAACAGATTTCTATGTTCCAAACAATGCTCTCACAAATGTTGCATCTCATCGAGCCCTTGTTTTGGAGTCGTTGCCTCGTTGCTTGTCTGTTCGTGTTTCAGGTCGACCTGTACCTTTACCTGATCCAATTTTCCATGGTGGTCAAGCTCAACGACTTGGCAAGCGCCTTCGTTTATCCATTGATATTACAGACAAAGTATGTTTAGTATGAAGAAAATTTGAGCATATATATATATATATATATATATATATATATATTCACTTAAATTTTTTGAGTGCTTATCGTCGTTTTTTTGATAAATCATTGGCTTATTTCTACATAACTGATAAATTCTGTTATGTTATGTTTTTTATCTATTTGATTACTTGAAGACTAAAAAATTCTAGACGTAAACATACAGTAGGATGAACGTTAAGGTAGTACATTCCACGAAATGGCCTATTTATATGTATTCTAAGTTTGTACAAAAAAAATCTCAATAGTTCTTGTTATATTCTTAGATATACTTACGCCGAAACTATTAACCTTAACGATAATTCAGAAAGTATGAAAGAATATTAAGTGATGAACTAAGTGTTAATTGTGGAAGCCTCTTTGGGTTTTACTTACTTAATGATAATCAAACTAAGAAAATATTTCAGGAGGAACTAGAAAGACAGTTAAGCGACCATGTAAGTGATTCCCAACCGGAGGCAGCTTGGAAAGATATCAAGAAGGCTGTGGAAACAGCAGTGATATCTTCTAGTAAGGTTAACCGTAAGGCTAGAATGAAGCCGTGGATCTCAATTGCATCTACCGAACTGATGGATGCTCGAAAACTCATCCAGCCTGGCTCTGAGGGCGATGAGGAGCGGAGTCAGCTTAGACGTAGGCTGGTAAAAAGCCTACACAATGGTCGAGAACAGTGGTGAGTGGAGAAAGCGAGAGAGATGGAAAAGGCAGCGGCGATAGGCAACAGTAGGCAACTATTTAGACTCATCAAGGAAACTGGTATTAGGAACCCGAATGTGAGTGAGACTATTTCGGAAAAGGATGATCTTATTATCCATTCTCAATCCAGGAGACTGGACCGATGGGCAGAACACTTCAGGGTTCAGTTGAACTGGCCACAAGCCACTCTTCGGTTACCCACGATCTCCAGTCATCCTGAATGGGGAATCGCCATTAGTCCCCCTAGTCTTTATCAAGTTGAGAAAGCGTTAGGAAATCTGAAGCGAGGGCGAGCTGCAAGTCCTGATAAACTGACCCCTGAGATATTTAAAGATAGTGGTCCAGTTTTAGCAGCTAGGTTGACTGAGATCTTAGGTAGAATCTGGGAACTGGACGTAATCCCATCTGACTGGTCTCAGTTGCTAATTGTCCCAATTTATAAGAAAGGAAAAAAGTCATCTTGTGACAGTCACAGGGGAATAAGTCTAACTCATATAGTATCTAAAATATTGGCCTCATTAATACTTCGACGCTTAACGAAAGCTCGTGAAGAGCAGACTCGAGAAAACCAGTCTGGTTTTAGACCTGGACGCGGCTGTATAGACCACAACCCTACACTACGACAGGTCCTGGAACACAGACACACATTTAGGCGTCCTACAATAGTTGTTTTCTTGGACCTTAAGGCTTCATTTGACTCAGTGGATCGTGAGGCTTTGTCACTGTCTGTCATTGAAAGGTGTACCAAAGAAGTATATTAACCTCATACAAACACTCTACTCGAACACCACTGGTCGAGTGAGAGCTAATGGCGAACTGTCATCGGAATTCTTCACTTCAAGTGGTGTCCGAATGACATTGCTGAAAACCGTTTGCAATGGCGCCGGTGCATTTATTCTTTGTGTTCTCTCAAATCCTAATCTTCTGGATTCTTTAACACCTCTAGTTTTGTCTTTCTAAACTTATCTCGCTGAATCATACTCGTTGAATAATTTCTTCTAATCCTAACCTCTCCGATTTCTTTTACTACCTTTACTACTATTGGATTTGAATTGACAATTACATCTCTGTGCTGAACTGATGTACTTACGTACGATGTTCTATATTGTAACTGACTGACTAAGTGTTAATAAGTTAGTTTAAATTTCTAACTTACACTACTGGACCACATTTGCAGCCCTCTTTACCCTAGAGTCTTTGTTTGGTTATAAGATAAGTATGTTGTTTCATTTAAAGTCTTTTAATGAGTGAATTGTATAAGTTAGTGTTTGGATACCTGAACGATAAAATGATGATTCGTGCAAATTTTCATATACACATTTTTAGGCTTTTTCACAGATTGACTATTATTACATGTTCCTTATTTATTCAGTGTAAGAAGTTAATAACAGGAAATGACAAAACGCGAATCGTTATTTAAGGTGACCATGGTGTTAATTACACTAATTCCCGTTGCAAACCCAACCTAACCTACTTTGGTTTCGAGAAAGCAGCTAGTATCATTAGCTTTGACACTCAGTGTGGTTGATACCCAGGTATTCGTTGAACGAGTTAATCTGTGTTAGTTTTAATTTAACACTAGTATATATCTCTTGTTTTAAAAGTTGAAGTGTGGTGCGCGCTACTTATAAGTGGTATATGACGCGAGTGAAAGCGTAATGTCTGGCAGCAGAAGATTGGGGGGAAGATCAAGAAAGGAAGAGCGGGAACACAATGTGATTTGTATGAAATGCATGAACAGTGAAATGTCAGACAATGGATTGATGTTTTGCAAATTAACCGTTGACGATATGGTTTTCCTATTTTACCAATTAACTCGGTAATTTGCGATAAATACAATTCGGTTGCCCTCCCCTGTGTTCTCCTTCACTACAGAAGTAACGGAGCATAGGCCACCAACCAGTTTTCTCCAACCAGCTCTGTCCTGGGCTTCCCTCTCCAGTTCTGTCCAATGTTTGTTCATTCCTCTCATATCTTTTTCTATTTCTCGGCGTAGTGTGTTCCTTGGCCTTCCTCTTTTCCTTTTGCCTTGAGGGTTCCATGTGAGGGTTTGTCTCGTGACGCAGTTAGGTGCTTTTCGTAGTGTGTGTCCTATCCACTTCCACCGCTTCTTTCTGATTTCCTCATCCACTGGAATCTGGTTTGTTCTCTCCCACAGTTCGTTGTTGCTGATGGTGCCTGGCCAACGAATACGAAGTATTTTGCGTAGACAACTGTTAATAAACACTTGTATCTTGTGGATGATGGCTTTCGTAGTTCTCCAAGTTTCCGCTCCATACAGTAGAAGTGTCTTGACATTCGTGTTTTGAAAATGCTGATTTTGGTTTTGGTTGGCAGTTGTTTGGAGTTGCAGATATTTTTCAATTGTAGAAATGCAGCCCTTGCTTCGCCAATCCGTGCCCTCACATCTGCATCGGATCCACCGTGCTCGTCGATGATGCTGCCCAGATATGTAGAGGAGTTTACATCCTCCAAGGCATCTCCATCAAGAGTGACTTGATTGACGCATGTTGTGTTGCATCAGACAATTTTGCTTTTTCCTTTATGTATGTTGAGACCTACTGCTGCAGAGGCTGCTGCTACACTGGTCGTCTTCTTTTGCATTTGTTGTTGCGTGTGAGATAGAAGAGCCAGGTCATCTACGAAGTCCAGATCGTCCAGCTGCGTCCTATCTGTCCAGTTGATACCGTGCTTCCCTTCAGATGTCGACGTCTTCATAATCCAGTCGATGAGCAGGAGAAAGAGAAAGGGTGAGAGTTAACAACCTTGCCTCACACTGGTCTTCACCTCGAAAGAGTCTGTTAGCTGTCCTCCGTATACGATTTTGCAGTTGAATCCATCATAAGAATTCCGTATGATGTTAACTATTTTCTCAGGCACACCGTAGTGTCGAAGAAGAGTCCACAGTGTTTTCCTATCCACGCTATCGAATGCTTTCTCGTAGTCGATGAAGTTGATGTACAGTGGTGAGTTCCATTCAATTGATTGATTGTTCCAGAATGTTCCGTAATGTAGCAATTTGGTCAGTACACGATCGATCCTTACGAAATCCGGCCTGTTGATTTCGAAGTTGGGGGTGTCTACGAAGTCCTTCATTGTGTTTAACAATACCCTGTTGAAGACTTTGCCTGGTATTGAAAGAAGAGTGATGCCTCTGTAGTTCTCACACTTGTTGAGATCACCTTTGTTTGGTATTTTGATCAGGTATCCTTGTTTCAAAATAATTACTACTCAAATAATAATTTCTTTTTTGATTTTTAAAAATAAATAATCAGATCCTTATGAAGTATAGTTCTGCAGTGCGAAACAAAATTGTCGATATTGAATTAACTTGGTTACATGCCCCACTGGAAGATCAATCAGTGGAACTGTTAAATCTAGTTGCTGATGGATTAGTTTCTCCATTGTTATGTCATCTTATTGGAATGCCATTAGTTCAAGTTACACTTGATCGTGCTTATACTGTGGCAGATCTACGTAATACATTCAATTTAGATAATGTAGAAGCGCATAAACAATTTCTTAGTGGACCATTCTTAGATCCTGTTGAATTTCCATCACTGATAATGAATCCAGATGGTTCAGGACCATTGAAAGATCATGGAGTATTTGGAGCGTATGACAACTGTTTACCGCCGGCATTTTCACTTCCAGCTGAAAATACAAAAGTAAAAATAATTTTTTTGATTATCCCAATTGTTTTGTTATTCGGCGTTTTTTCTGTTCTCTACAGTCAGTCAGTTACGGGTATGAGGGCGGTTATCACTTCCCGGCTGCCCACAACGTGGAAGGTTGTTACTTGAGGAACCTGAAAAGGAAGATAGATTAGTGTTGGTCTTGGAGATCTGGTAGCGTGACCGCAGAGCCCAAGGGACAACTACTTGAGGCCGGTCACGCACGGCATTTTTATGAGAAGTTTTTTGAGCATTAGCTCCGCTCTTGAAGGCACTTAGTGGGCACGCTTACCGACGGAGACGGAAATCCGTGAGGTAGGGTGAGGTGTGACATTTTTAGGGTCGACCTTTTCTAACCCTTCCTTCCTTGTGAGAAGGCAGCATCGCTGCACATGCTGGTTGTCCGAGGGAAACACCTTACTGCTGTCACACCCCTCTTCAGTCAGTCAGCAGTACGACTTCGCCCTCAGACCTTGGGTAGCTGCTTTTAGTCTCATCGTTCTCCAATCAACCTGTCTGGCATGATATAACCTTCGGGAACAGATGTTCTAGCCAGCATAGCTCGGTTGGATCATCACGATAGTCAAGCCCGACCACCACGTCAAGGTAGCAGCTACGGTCGGGGTTTGTTCTCTACATCATTATTTGATTGCATAATAAATGCTAGGAAAGTGATTATGATTTATGTAGTGTATATCTAAATGTACGTACGAAGTTCTACGCGTTGTAACTGAGTCAAACTGACTGATTGACTATCTCGACCACTATGGGGGATTTTTAATTGACAATTGCATCTCTGTGTGCTAATGTGGTATGTGGCAACTTGAACTGATATCCGTACGTACGAAGTTGTTCTACGCGTTGTAACTGAGTGACTGACTGACTGACTATCTCTACCAGTATTGGGGATTTTTAATTGACAGTTGCGTCTGTGTGCTAATGTGGTATGTGACAACTTGAACTGACATGTGTACGTACGAAGTTCTACGCGTTGTAACTGACTGACTGACTGACCCAATGTATTTTGATGCTTTTGAAGTGATAAAGACAAACTGCAGTCAATAACAACTTTAAATGATAAAATGTATCAAAGTGAATATTAATTGTATTGATGATAATAATCAATAATTGAGGAATCGAAAAAAAAACTGGTTCGAGAAAACATGTTAGGATATTGATCCAATATCGTAAGTGAATTATTGGTCAAACCCTATTGGTCGATTTCTATTGGTCAAAATTATGGTCGTTTTAACTGTCAAAGTCAAATACTTCGATGTTGTCTCTGATTGGTCCTCAGGACTGTCAATGTCATTTCAAATGTTCTTTCCTATTGGTCGCTCTAAACTGTCAATGTCACAGACTTTGATGCTGTTTCCTATTCGACCAAAATGTATAAATACGCATTATCTGTAAGACTTTATGACCAGGACCAGGACCCGGTCCCGAATCCCTAGTCCGGGATCCTGATTCTCTTCTGGATTCGGACTTCGTACTTTCTGAATGCTTGTAGAATACAGGTTCTACTTCACATTCAAGCCTTCTTATATTTACTCAACATGAGGGTTGGGATAATTGGATTTGAGTAGCATGTCGTGTGTCACCGGATCCTCGATGCTCGCTCTCGTTTTTCCGACTAAGGTAAACTCGTAATAGTTCAAGCATATCAAAATGACGTGCTTACGTCCAGGCATAACAAAACATCCATGAAAAGTGATAGCTTTCAACTTGAAATTATTCGAAATCAAAGCCTTTTTATAGTTTTATAGTATTTAGTGCGACGTGAAAGTTAGTGGTAAAACAACCAAACAATGAGGAAGTAGACTCTACTACATCGACCTTTTGTAAATTCAAGTTCTGCCAACTCTAATCAAAGCGTTGTACAATCCAAACTGTCATTCCAAATGCTAATTTTGTGTTTTAAGGTTTGTGAAATTTATTTTTTTTGAAAACTCCATCAATCCATACTGAATATCAAACACATTAGGATATTTCTTAATAATCTGCTACTCTAGTTTCTTAAAATGTATCTGTTAAAAATGTTTATTTATTAGAACTTTCTAATTGCAATTCGCATTATGGGGTTGTGAAGATTGTTAAGTTACACATTTTTGAAACCATGAATCGACCAATGTTAGACCACCATTAGAAAACTTAAAGCACTGGACGGCCGTTTCGTCCTGGTATGGGACTCATCAGTGGCAGTGCGCATCCACGACTCCTGCACCCCGCAGGATTCGAACCCAGGACCTTCGGTATTGTAGGCGAACGCCTAACCATCGGACCACTGAGCCGGTATCCAACGGTGTTAATGTCTAACTTGATCAAATTCACGGAGTTGCACAACCTCATACACAGTCTTCAGTAATTACTGTCTTCACCCGAACAGGTTGGACTTCACTGGTCACATCTTCCCACTAGAACTCGGAGAAGATTGCTTACGAAGCTAGTCGTCACTAGTGAGCATAGGTAATTTGCATTACGGGGTTGTGAATTTTGTTAAATTACACATTTCGTGGATACACACTTCTGATGAGTCCCATACCAGGACGAAACGGCCGTCCAGTGCTTCCAGGTTTCTAATGCTAGTCTAACATTGGTCGATTCATGGTTTCAAAAATGTGTAAATTACAATTTTATCATTAATTAATTATTCATGTGACTGTTTAATTTTTGTAACATTCTCTTCACCAGCATGAGCTAAAGTCTCGCTTACAAAAAACATCTAACGATAATGATGATTTATCTATTGAAGACGTTGATGTTCAACTTGCTGACTACATTCCTATATGTTTATTGTGTCCATTAACTCGAACAAGAATTGATGTAAGTTTTTGGTTTTCTCCCCTCACCTCTTTTAAATTTCATCTCTTGTGATTGATTTTTTCCTGTACTCATCTTATTGATTGATATTTTGTGTAAAATACATTGTCTACTACTGAACTATCACCTGAATTCTCTACATCAAGTTGTGTCCGTCAGGGCTGTCCACTCTCTCCATTCTTGTTTAACCTTGTCGTAGACATCCGCTTAGAGTCAGATTTTTCAGGGGTTGACCTTCCATCAGGAAAATCGCTTACTAATCTAGAATATGCCGATGACATAGTTCTATTCGGTGAAGACGCTGACAAAATGTAGAGTCTTCTCACTACCCTAAGCAATGCAAGCATGTTCGGGATGCGGTTTTCCCCCTCGAAATGCAAAATGTTGTTTCAAGATTGGGTTTCATCGGTACCTGAACTAGTGATAGGGAGTGAAGTAGTCGAGCGTGTTGATCACTTCACTTATCTTGGGAGTCTCATCAGTGCTGATGGCCTGGTGACTGACGAAATCTCTGCACGGATACAGAAGGCTCGATTGGCTTTCGCCAACCTGCGTCACTTATGGCGTAGGTGAGATATCCGTTCGCTAACCAAAGGACGGGTGTACTGCGCAGCAGTTCGTTCCGTTCTCCTATATGGATGCGAAACATGGCCAGTGAGAGTAGAAGATATTCGTCGGTTATTGGTTTTCTATCATAGGTGTCTTCGAACCATTGCGAAAACTTCGAATAATAACTATTTAAGTAGATTATTCTAAAATGGAAATCAGAATTCATGTTTATCATCCGGTTGTGTCTTTATACTTGATAATAATAAGAGCTATGTATTGTGGTTTAGGGGAATAAGTTGGAAGAAAGTTAGGGGTGGCCAAACCAAAACGTGGCAGGAATCCATGAAGTCACCGATAAGTGGATTAAGTCATGTTGGTAGATGTAGACTACCTGGTTGGGGTCCACGAGACGATAGTCACCAGTGGTTAGAGACCTTGAACGACATCGCTCAGAATCGTTTGCAATGACGCAGGTGCATCCACTATTTGTGTTCTCTCTAATTCTAAGCTTCTGCATTCCTCATAATCTCTACCTTTCTCCTTCTAAATTTATCTCACTGAATTATACTTCTCGAATCATATCTCCACTCACTAATCTTCTCTATTACTGCTAATACTTCTATTATTGCTATCACTGTTGGATTTGAACGGACAGTTGCCTCTCTGTACTGATGTGGTATGATAACCTGAACTGGTGTACTTACGTATACGAAGTTCTGCGTTGTATGTCTGTCTGTCTGTCGACGTTGAAGATCGTGTATAGTGTAACAGTGTGTAACAATCTCTTTTGTAATAATTCTATCAACTGTTATTTTCAATTACGTAACTATGTACAAAAGTGGATTTTATTCGCTTTATAAAAGAAAACTTGTTGAAATTATTCAATTTTTTGTTATTGTTGTTTCTTTCAGGTTCCTGTACGATCGTTCAATTGTTCACATCTTCAATGTTTTGATTTACACTCGTATTTAACAATCAATATGCGACGACCTCGTTGGTCTTGTCCAATTTGTGGTATCTCTGCACCATTTCGTGATTTAAGAGTAGATGAGTATGTGAAATTTTTACTTTTTTCAATGTTGTTATCATTTGAATGGTCTAAGAGAGAGAGAGAGAGTAGGCTGAAAAAAGTTGATGAGGGCAGCCGAACTAATAAGTCACATCAAGTGTCATTGACTGTTAGTTTCATTAAGCCATATTGGTAGATGTAGTTCATCTGGTTGGTGTCTGTAGACGTTAAGTGTCCTGATTCAGGGTTTTTTCTGATTGGTGCAAATGCATTCGCTAGACGTCTCTTTCCTTAGATCTTCAGTTTTAAACTATCTTGTAAAATTATTTTATCTTTTGAATTCATTTTTTCATTTTGAATGATATTTTCTACATGTGTAATCTTTTCTGCTGTCGCTTGTACTATTGTGGTGTGTGCTACTTATACGAACGATATAAGTAGTATAAGAAGGGACGTGGAAGAATTCGCACGGTCACAAGAGGAAAACAGAAAGCAAATGAAGCAAAAGCAAGAAGTAAATGGAGTACCGACAGGACAGGACGTAAAGGAAGCAACAGAAGGAATGGAAGAAGGATGGAGCGTTGGAAGTCACGATTCAAAGAGATGGTGTGCAAATAGAATGCTCAATGTAATGTTTTCGTTTTGAATTGACTAAGAGTGTAAATTTGCATAATACAATCTTCAGCGCCTGCCTCAGTCTTCTCACTATTACCACTTCTACTACCATCCGATAATTTGTTTTAATCATTACATCTCAATCACTCGGGTGGATCCAATGCAGATATAAAAGCACGGATCCGCAAAGCAAGGACAGCATTTCTACAACTGAAGAACATATGGAACTCAAAACAACTGTCAACAAACACCAAAATCAGAATGTTCAATACAAATGTCAAGACGGAGCGGAAACTTGGAGAACTACGAAAGCCATCATCCAGAAGATACAAGTATTGATTAACAGTTGTCTACGTTAAATACTGAGGATCCGTTGACCAAACACAATCAGCAACAATCTACTCTGGAAAAGAACAAACCAGATTCCAGTGGAAGAAGCGGTGGAAGTGGATAGGACATACAAGGCGGAAAGCATCCAACTGCGTCACAAGACCAAGCCCTCACTTTGAACCCTCTAGGTAAAACGAATAGAGGATAGCCAAGAAACACATTACGCCGAGAGATTGTGATAGATACGAGAAGAATGAACAAACACTGGACAGAACTGGAAATGAAAAATCAGGTCAAAGTAGTAGGTTGGTCGGCAGCCCATGCTCCGTTGGGGGGGGGACAGACGTAAGTAAATCAGTAACTCTAGTGGTAAAGTGTAACAGAATGATAAACCAATACATGATATGTAGCTGACAAATTAATTGACGAAATCTATTAGTAGCATTATTATTCTCTACTGCTCATGATGTATTCTCAAGCTTTAATTCATCGTAATACAAATTCAGTCAGTGAATTTGGTCAGTGAACGGATATCTCGCCTACGCCGTAAATGGCGTAAATTGGCAAAAGCAGATCGAGCTTTCTGTATCCGTGCAGAGATTTCGTCAGTCACCAGGCCATCAGCACTGATGAGACTCCCAAGATAAGTGAGGCGGTCTACACGCTCGACTACTTCACTCCCTATCGTTAGTTCAGGTGCCGATGAAACCCAATCTTGAAACAACATTTTGCATTTCGAGGTGGAAAACCGAATCCCGAACATGCTTGCATTGTTGCTTATGGTAGTGAGAAGACTGCACCGAATAGAACTATGTCATCGGTATATTCTAGGTCAGTAAGCGATTTTCCTGATGGAAGGTCAACCCCTGAAAAATCTGACGAGCTTAATGTTATCTGTAAGAGGATGTCTCCGACAAAGTTAAACAAGAATGGAGAGAGAGTGGACATCCCTGACGGACACCACTTGATGTAGAGAATTCCTGTGACAGTTCGCCATATGCTCTCACTCGTCCAGTGTTGTTCGAGTAGAGATGTAATACAAATTACAGAGTACTTGTCTCATAAAGAATAACTTAACATTTTCATCTGGTTTATATGGTTTCTTTCTGTCAATTTCATTTTTTTTTCTGTACACCAGATTATTTATGAGTATTTTAAAGAATCCTCGTAGTTCCGATGCTGAATTTGTTCAATTAGATGCAAATGGTGATTGGCGTTTAAATAATCCTAATGATATTCGATCCACTGGTGTTGGTGGTGTTGGTGGTAGTGGTGGTCCATTAATCACAGAATCTAATCAACAAACTACAACAAATGAACAAAACATTGTATCGAATTCAAACTGTGCAGCAGCAGAAGGCAATACTTCTAATCCATTGAAAAAAATTGAAATCTCTGATGATCTGACAACAAAAGAGAATCATGATCAATTAACTGAACAATCAACACCAGTCACCACCATCAATACTACTACTGCTACTACTACTGTTGGCACAACCGATACACTAGTGAAAAGACCAGAACAAGAAGCTAACAACACGAATACTATTGCTACTGTTAATCATTGTGACAGTAGTCATCAATCAGAACCGGAAGTGATTATATTAAGCGATGACGATGATGATGATGTTGGTGATGATAAGGGGAAGGAGTCAAACAATGACAGTGCCAATAGAGCTGCTTGTACTAATCAAACTCATAAAGATAATATGAATAGTGTTTTCCCGTGTTTAAAAGAAAAGGCGTAAGTGTTCACACAAGTGTTCACATATATTTAGTTGCTTCGATTTTTTGTCATAATTTTTAAGATGTGTGTATGTACACACACTCTGTGTAGGGAGGAGTGTAGTTAAAATCCATTACTCTAGTGATTGTTTAATGAAAGAAACAGATCTGTCGGTCAGTCAGTCAGATGCAACGTAGAAATTTGTACGTATGTACATCAGTTCATGTTGCCATACCACATCAGCACAGAGATGTAATTGTCAAATCAAATCCAATAGTAGAAGAGGTAGTAAAGGTATTAGAAGTAATCGGAGAGGTTAGGATTAGAAGATGTTAATTCAAGAAGTATGATTCAATGAGAAAAGTTTAGAACGACAAAACTAGAAGTGTTGAAGAATCCAGAAGATTAGGATTTGAGAGAACACAAAGAATGGATGTACTTGCGCCATTGAGAACGATTTTCAGCCATCTCATTCAGGGTATCTAACCATCGATTATTATCATCTCGCGGATCCCGACCAGGTAGTCGACAATTACCGACATGGCTAAGTCCACTTGTCAATGTCTTCATAGATTTCAGCCATGTTTTGGTTTGGCCGCCCCTAGTTTTCTTCCAACCTATTCCTACACCATAAAACATAGTTCGACGAGGCAGTCAGTGGTTAGGCATACGCAACACATGTCCCATCCACTTCAACTGATGACGTTTCACTACTTCATCTATTGATCTGCCATTCTTACCTAGCACCCGTTTCCTAATAACAGCGTTGCTCATTCAGGTGTCCCAGGATATACGAGCAATGCTTCGAAGACACTGACAGATCTGAGATCTGTCGGTGGTAAGAATTGAACATTATTTTCTGAGAAAAATAAGTCGACGTTATATAAGCATAGATTTTTGGAAATTACTATCCGTATAATTTTCAAGAGATTACACGAACAGTACGTACCCTGTGTCCTAGATGCTACTACTACTCATCACAATCAATGTTTTTTATATGTTCTGCAATGTGTGTAGGAGACGGGATCGAACTCCGTTGGGAGGTATACGATAGATTATCCGAAAAGATCTAGATTTATCTACCACGTGACCACTATCTACCACCAGGTGTGCTAAGAGATAGAACTGTGTATTGTTTTTGACTGACCCTTCCTTAAGCCATGCTGGTAGATGTTCATTCATATTCGTTGTGTAAGTTGTCTGGAAGTGTACGCCCGATATAGCTATCTCCACAGGAGCAGTTTGATTTTTTTTTTTGAAATGTAACCGGGTTACATCTGATCCATTTTTTTTACGTTATTTATTGAAATCAATTCTATTTTTTTTTAACTTCTCCAATAAATAGCTCAACCAATATCATCTCTACACATGCACTTCCTTTTGAAATTGATCTAACCAACGATGATTCCGATTCTTCTTCATATTGTGAATCAACTAATAGAGGAGTATTAGAACCTTTTTTCACTACTAATGATCCTTCTAATATCTCAACAAATGATATTATTCAACAGTCGGACATTTCATCTGATTTTATTCGCACCCGAGATGAAATACGATTTGGTAATAAAGGTCCATTGATAGTGATTAGTCCGTTACCACCTATAAGTATAGCAAATGCATTGTCTGGTTCAATGAAAGAAACAACTGATTTAAATTCAAATATAGATCAATTCACTACTACTACTACTATAAATAATGAATTGACCATTGATCCTAAACAGATTTTACGTTTAGATAGTAGTAGTAGTAATTGGCCTACAGAACAACTTGTACAAAATGCACTGAGAACCTCTAATATTAATAATAATAGTAATACCATTAACAATATGAATCTATACAATACTGATGGTTCTAAATCTGCATTCTATCAACGATTATTGGAAGCCACTGCTCATCGAGTGAATCAAACAATGCTTAAGAAAAATTCACATTGTTCACTAAGAGATAATGAAAGATTGTTATATGATGATAAGAAGACTATATCACCTGCTTTCGGTAGTACTGGTGGTAGTGGTGCTTCGAAAAGGAAAGGCAATTCAACTAGACTACTTAATAATAACAATGTCGAAAGTCGACCGAAAACATCTAGAAAAGTGCTAACATCTGACTCGGAAGGTTAGTTTTGAGATATTTTCAGGGCAAATTGTTTTATTGTCGTAGCTAGTTCGTAAAGAAAGTTTTATGGTGCATAGCCCGAACTTGCCTTAGTTTGACAATCCTTATCCTTATCATGAGACTCTTTACCAGCAGTGCAAATCTAAAACCTCACCTGTAATTATGGATACTGTCAGTCACAACGTAGAACTTCCTTACGTACCGACATCAGTTCAGATTGTCATACCCTTAGTTGCACTGAGACGCAGTTGTCAATTCAAATCACATAGTAAGTAAAAAGTATTAGCGATTATCAAAAAGGCTACGGTTCGAAGATATTATTCAAGAAACAAAATTTAATGAAAACTATAGTGGGACGCCGAAATATGTGTCTATCTTCCAGGATCAGACCTAGGTTGGTCTATACATCCACGTCAAGGTCTGAAACCAGCCTCGGTTTCTCAAGTCTGCTCTTCATGGGCTCTCGTTAGGCATCAAAGTATTATCAAGAATAACGTTTTAGACACTATTTGAGTTGGATTGTTACCTTTGTCCTTTCTTATAAGTTGGGACAATCAGTGAGGTAAGACCAGTCTGATGGGAATACATCGAGTTCCCGGATTCTAGCTAAGATCTCAGTCAACCTAACTGCTAAAACTGGACCATCAATCACCTAAATCTCAGGGGTCATTCCATCAGGACCTGCCTCTCTCCCTCGCCCTAGATTGCCTATAGCCTCTTGAACTTCATTCAAAGTTGAGGGGATTTACATCAATGTTGGTCGATGTCGCTTCCCGGCCGCCCTCACCGTGGAAGGGTGCGTCTTGAGGCACTTGAAAAGTAAGTTGGGTCAGTTTCAGTCTTAGCGGCTTGGCAGCTATACTGCAGAGCCCAAATGACAATTGCATGAAGCCGGTTACGCGTTACTGTTTCATGAGATGTTTTTAAAGTGTTAGCTCCACTCATCAAATGGCCTTACCATCAGAGACGGAAATCCGTGGAGTAAGGTGAAGTGTGCCATTTTCTAACGCTTCTTTCCTTGTGAGAAGGCAGCATCGATGCAGATGCTGGTTGCTCGAGGAAAACACTTTACTGCTGTCACACCCCTCTACAGCCAGCAGTACGACCTTGAGTTGCTGATTTTAGTCTCATCGTTCTCCAATCGACCTGTCTGGCATGGTAGAACCTTCAGGAACATATATTCGGTTGGGTCATCACGATAGGCAAGGTTGCATTTACGATCTGAATCTGTTTTAGAACCTAATACTATACCTACACCAGCAAGACCGCGGGAAGCAGCAGAGAAGCTTCCAGATACATAAAGCCTAAGTCGATACGGCTCTTTATTTTAACATGGTGAGGTCAAATTAATGACGCTACTCGGATCGTATTTGCGCGTTTTGGAGACTCAGCATACTTCGATGTCACTCGATTCCAGAATCCTATCTAAAGAAGCCTGTTTTCCTAGTTTTCACAAGGTTTGAATACTGAAAGCTCCAACATGTAGTGTGGAGCGTGGTTTCAAGATACCAGTAATAACGTTCCGTGCACTCTAATTGTTTTCATCGCCACTTGCAGTTGACTAAGGGATGCGAGAAGGTTATTTGGTTGTAGGAAGGATTTGATTGTGACCAATTCGGTCTCGTATGCTGTTGTTACGACTATGAGGGCGGATGTCACTTCGCAGTTGCCCACACCGTGGAAAGATGGTGGATACAAGACGTGATGATCTAAATGTTGAGCGCTCTGTGAAATACGAAAGCTTTTGGGTTTGGTCCCTGGCTCGTTCCGTGGATGCACGCTGCTTCTACTAACAATCTAATCATTGTATTTTTTTAGAAGATTATTTCAACTACTTAGTATTTCAAAACAGTGGTTCCCTTTGATAAATTTGAATAGAGAAATAAGAAGACATATTTTGTGAGATAGTGATACCATTTCATGCTTTCTCGTCAGTCACATACAAGCAACATGTTATTTGTGTAAATACAGTTTTGAAGATAAGGTCAAAATTTCCTATTTAGCATGACATTCACTCACTAGGAGAACCATGGTAAACAAAGGTCAACATACAGTTGTTTTTGAACACATAAAGTTGCAGTTTTCCGACCAATCAAGATAGCTTCGAGTAGTTTCAGTGTGTGTGGGTTTTTGATGACATGTCACAACTCTATAAAGGCTGATTTTGGGTCAATTTGATGACCACTCATCATTAGATGTTTTGCAATGGACGAGGCTGGGTTTCTCGATCGATTTTGAAATGATGGGCTAGGTAGATGAATCATGGATATGATTAACCATTTTGGAATATGTTCCCCTATCCTGTCTTCCAATCGGCGACCTGTCCTACCCAAGCAACTTCCTCCGCAGTTACATGTGAATTGGTAAATACAGTGGGATTTGGACTGAATTGGTCTTGGAGACTTGATTGGGATAACGGAGATCGATTGGGTTGTTGTGATAAGCCTCAGATAGGCTGCATTGAAGGTCTTTTTTATTGCAGCTGCAGTCTGTTTGGTTGTAATTTTCATGCAGTGATCACCCTTGAAAGATAACTGTAGGTACACTGGTTTCTTGGGTACACCAGTGGCTATCAGCTTCGTCATAGTTGTGTTCTGATGACCAATAAACGTTTCGGATAACCGTTTGATTTAAGTGTGTCAGTAATAAGCTTGAATTCATCGTTCATTGTATCAGCAGTGCAGATTCCCTTTGCTTGAGCGAATAAAGTTTTGACAACAGAACGTTTATATATAGTATGGGGCAGAAACTAGTGAAGTGGAGGTACTGTCCCGACCAGGTGGGTTTGCAGTGTACTTTTCGTCTGATTGATCCGTCTGGACGGCGATGGAGCAGGATATCAAGGAAAGCTAGTTCATTATTCTTTTCTTCCTCATAAGTGACTTTCAGATTCGGGTGAATCGCATTAAATAAATCACTGATTTCATTAATATCTATAGAATGTGGTAATATGACAAGAATATCGTCGACATATCGTTTGTAAAGTGTAATACCATCGATGAAGTGACTCACTTGCCTTTCTATCATTCCCATGAATATGTTTGTTAAAACAGGTCCGAGAGGGCTTCCCATTGCCACTCCATCGATTTGTGTATATGCGTTACCTTGGAAATAGAATTTTATATTCTTAGTGCACAGCAAAATCAGATCTCGAAGATAGGTAGTAGGAATGGGTATTCTTATATTATGTGAAGTTATGAAGTCACAAATAAATTCCACAGTTTCTTCGAGAGGTACATTCATACTTAGTATTTGTTTTTTTTTGCCTTGTCAATTTTCTGTAGAAGAATTAGCGGATAAGGCGTGTTCTATTATACCAAGTTCTTCGACTACAACTAGTGGTCGCAACGCTCATATGATCAAACAGCAACAAGTTGCTGCATTAGCACGCCTAATACAAGAACGTTCAAGTCGTGTGGTGAAAAGTATGCCTGACACGTCGAATGAACAAAATCAAAATGGTATTGAAAATCTGCCTTCAACAAGCAGTACAAGTAGGAGAGTTATGTCTAAACGAAAAGTTGTCCGTACTCAATCCAAGAGAAAAAAGAAACGTCCCACACGTAAACGACCACTTCGACGTCGACCATCAAATATATCTGATGATGATGATGACAGTGACTCGTCTAGTCAATCGTTGTATACATCCGAAATGTCTTGTGTGTCTATTTCAGAACCATCAACCGATTCCTCATTTGTTAATTCATCACAATATTCTGATGATGAAGACGAAGAAGAGTCGGTTGAGTCATTTTCATCCGATGATCGTTGGTCACCATCACAAGTAGGCTCCTCCAGCAAGAAACAACAGACAAAACGTAAACCTCCAAAATTACGCCGGTGAAATCTTTCTCAACAGTTTTTTTTTCCTGTCTAAAGATTATTAAAAAAAAAATATCCAACTTTTCTTATTAGCATTTCTATGTATTTGTTCAATCAAATTTGTACAGTGTAATTGGGGTGATTTTCTTTACTTACTTACACACACTATCTACATGAATCATCGACATGTACATAGTAGTAGTGACTCTGACATACGAGATCATTTTCAAATGATGAACAACTATGTGTGTATTCCCTTTTTCTTTTTTTTTTATTATTTCAAGATATTACTGGTTATTATTTCTTTGTAAACTTAAATAAATCTTACAGCTTAATTAATTAGAAAGTAGTAATCCAATCAGTTCACTCACACTCACTTACTATCAATCAAATCGTGAACAAACAAAAATGATATCACTACTACTGATTAATTGTCTACAATTATTCTTAAAGTTTATCATCAATCTGTTCAAACCAATCCATGTGAGCATAACGATGAAGAATTGGAAAGTGTTTATAAAATACCGAAAGAGTTGTTCTAGTAATAATGATGTTGTGTTGTATATAACTTTGAATGGTATGTATGATACATTATTTGAGATTTCAGTAGATTTATTGTTTTTGTGCAAAAGAACTTTGTTAACTAACGATCATGAATTATTATTTGATAGTAGACAGAATTTGAACTGTTTTATTGCATCAATCGTGTCGTTTACCATCTGATTATATTGAAAAACATATTGGTACGAAGGGACACTAAAATATAATATCTCTTGTACATGTCAGTGAAATTCGTATGCGGACTGAGTGTCCAAACAAACCAAAGCATGTGGCTTTCTTTCCACTCCGTGAGCTTTTGCTGATGCGCACAGCAGTGGAGCAATGTCAGGAGATACAGTTCCATGATAGCTGGAGATAAGAGAGGTATTAGGGGGTGTAGAAAGGGTTTGATTTTGACCAATTCGGTCTCGTGTACTGATACAGGTATGAGGGCGGTTGTTACTTCCCGACTGCCCACACCATGGAAGGTTGTTACTTGAGGAACCTGAAAAAGAAGATAGATTAGCGTTGGTCTTAGAGACCTGGTTGCGTGACCGCAGAGCCCAAGGGACAACTGCTTGAGGCCGGTCACGCACGGCCTTTTTATGAAAGGTTTTTTGAGGATTAGCTCCGCTCTTAAAGGCCCTTAGTGGGCACCCTTACCGACGGAGACGGAAATCCGTGAGGTAGGGTGAGATGTGACTTTTTCAGGGTCCACCTTTTCTAACCTCTTCCTTCCTTGTGAGAAGGTAGCATCTCTGCAGATGCTGGTTGTCCAAGGGAAAAACCTTACTGCTGTCACACCCCTCCACAGTTAGTCAGCAGTACGACTTCGCCCTCAGACCTTGAGTAGCTGCTTTTAGTCTCATCGTTCTCCAATCGACCTGCCTGGCATGGTATAAGCTTCAGGAACATAAGTTCCAGCCAATATAGCTCGGTTGGGTCATCACGATAGGCAAGCCCAACCACCACGTCAAGGTAGCAGCTTCGGTCGGGCATGATAGCTGGTGACCACCAACATTGGGTTCCCTCAAGATCCTGCAGCCCATGTGCACTGCTTGTTTGGGATCTAGGTTTTCTGACTTTCCTAGGTGAATCCTTCGTACCCACCAACCACCCTGTTGGAGTACCTGACTTGCCTTTTGTCCTCAATTTTGTAAATAAAGCCCCTGTTGCGAAAAGTCAGTGAGTAGGACTTCCTAAATACTGGCTGTATACACGTGGCCATATGAGTTAGGGAGAGCGGACTCCTTTTATTTTCTACCGTATCAAGACATTTTAGTCAGTCAGTCAGATGCAACGTAGAACTTCATACGTAAGTACATCAGTTCATGTTGCCATACCACATCAGCACAGAGATGTAATTGTCAATTCAAATCCAATAGTAGTAGAGGTAGTAGAAGTAATCGGAGAGGTTGGGATTAGAAGATTTTATCCATGAAGTATGATTCAGTGAGAAAAGTTTAGAAAGTCAAAACTAAAAGGGTACGCACGTACATCAGTTCAAGTTGCCATACCACATTAGTACAAAGACGCGATTGGCAATTCAAATCCTATAGTAGTTGAGGTAGTAAAAGTATTATCGGTAATCGGAGAGATTAGGGTTCGAGGATATGATTCAAGGAGTATAATTCAGTGAGATAAGGTTAGAAAGACAAAGGTAGAGGTGTTGAGTAATCCAGAAGATCAACATTTGAGAGAACACAAAGAATGAATGCACCGGCGCCATTGCAAACGTTTTTGAGCCATGTCATTCAGTGTCTCTTACCATCGATTATTATCATCTCGCGGACCCCAACCAGGTAGTTGACAATTACCTACATGGCTGAGTCCAGCAGCAGTGTTTCCCTCGGACAACCAACATCTGCAGCGATGCTGCCTTCTAACAAGGAAGGAAGGGTTAGAAAAGGTCGACCCTAAAAATGTCACCTAACCCTACCTCACGGATTTCCGTCTCCGTCGGTAAGGGTACCCGCGAAGGTCTTTCAAGCGCGGAGCTAATACTCAAAAAATCCTTTCATAAAGAGGCTGTGCGTGACCGGCCTCAAGCAGTAGTCCCTTGGGCTCTGCGGTCACTCACCCAGGTCTCCGAGACCAACACTAATCTATCTTCCTATTCAGGTCCCTCAAGAAACAACATTCCACGGTGTGGGCAGCCAGGAAGTGACAACCGCCCTCATACCCGTAACAGTACGAGAGACCGAATTGGTCAAAATCAAATCCTTCCTACACCAACACATACCTCTCTTCTCTTCACAACTAACTCTACTCACATTCCCGTATCAAGAAATTTGAGGACATACGGTCCAATACCTGATAATGCACAAAATGTTAGGTCGTTAGATAAGTGAGGAATTTAGATTGTTTTCTTTACTTAACATATATTCTATTCAAACTAGTTGATTGTAGAAATTTTTATCGTATATTCACTTGAACATATGTAAGCTGTAGAAAAGTAGTTTAGTTAAGTTGACCTAAATTTTAGAGTGAATCTTCTTTTCTCTCTTCTCAGCCACAAAATATGTGTATTCACTTTGACCGCGTTAAGCTTTCCTAAAGAAATGTCAAACTGCTATGCTGCTTGTTCAACTAATATACATGCGTTCGAATACATGCGTTGAATACACTGAGTGGACAATTATGAATTTAGACATGATATATTGGGTAAATATTAGCAAACTAGTTATTGTATTAGTGGGTCTTGATCGACTGGCGCGGTTCGGACATGTATCACGTTTCCCCTAACATTCAGTATTCTCCATATTCGAAAAGATACAGTTGCTTGTCAACGGTTGTCTGTGCATAAAATTGTGGACTTGTTGGCTAGACACCATCAGAAACAACCTACTGTAGAAGAGGAAAAGCCAGATGGCGAAAAAAATCACTTGTGGTGGTTCGGGCACACATTGAGGAAAGCACCAAACTGGTCATCAGCCACACACACGATTTCCAGTCAACTTGAATGACAAGTTGATGTAAATTCTTCAAATCCTAAAGAGGTTCAAAAAACTATAGGCAATCGAGGGCGAGGGAAAGAGGTAGGTTCTGATGCATTGACCCCTGAAATTTTTGCAAGTGAGGGTCAAGTTTTAGCAGTTAGGTTGACTGAGATCTCAGCCAGAAATCGGGAACTGGATTTAATCTGATCTGATTGGTCTTAATCACTGATTGTCCCAATTTAGAAAAGAAAGACAAAAGTCCTCTTGTGACAATCACAGAGAAATCAGTCTAACTAATATAGTATCTAAAATGTTATTCTCGATAATACTTCGACGCCTAATTAGAGCTCGTGAAGAGCAGACTCAAGAAAACCAGGCTGGTTTCAGACATTGACGTGGATGTATAGACCAAATTTTCACACTTCGTCAGGAAAGCCTTCAATAGTAATCCTTGCTCCCAAAGAAGAAGAGGAAGACCATAGAACACATTATGCTGACAGAGTATGTTGGAGAATGCTAGTCGGTGGTCTATGCTTCATCGGCGGTAACAGATGTAAGTATGTGAGATGTTAATCAAATATTGTAACGCAGATGTCTTCCTCCGCTGCAATCTGGTTCGTCTTCTTCCACAGTAAGTTGTTGTTGATGGTGTGTGGCCGACAGATCCTCAGCATCTTGCGTAGACAACGATGTGTTATTATCTGTATCTTTTGGATGGTAACTTTCATAGCTCTCCAAGTTTCCGCGCTATACAGTAGAACTGTCTTGATATTTGTATTGAAAATTCTAACCTTGGTATTAGTTAGCAGTTGTTTTAAGTCTCAGATGTTCTTCAATTATAGAAATCCTGACCTTGCTTTGCCAATCCGAGCCTTCACATCTATATCAGACCCACCGTGCTCATCAACGGTTCTACATCTTCCAAAGTCTCACTGTCAAGTGTGATTTGGTTAGTGCATGTTGCGTTTTCCATTTGTATATGTTGAGATCTACTGTTGCTGAGGCTGCAGCTACACTGGTCGTCTTCTCTTACATCCGTTTATGCGTTTGGTATCATCTGCAAAGTTCAAATCGTCCATCTGCATTCCAGCTATCCGATGTATCCCGTGCTTCCCCTCAGATGTGGACTTCTTCCTAATCCAGCCGATCACCAGGAGAAAGAGAAGCAACCTTGCCTGACACCGATCTTTGCTTCGAACGAGTCTGTGAGCTGTCCTCCGTGCACGATTTCGCAAGTTAATCCGTTGTAAGAATTGCGTATGATGTTGACTATCTTCTCAGGCACGCGGTAGTATCGAAGAAGCCTTCAGAGTGTTGTCCTGTCCATGCTATCAAATGCTTTCTCATTGTCAGTGAAGTTGATGTAGAGTGGTGAATTTCATTCAATTGATTGTTCTACAATGTTGCAGTTCGGTCGGTAAACGATCGATCCTTACGAAATCCATCCTGTTGATATTGAAGTTGGGCGTCTATAAAGACCTTCATTCTGTTTAACAATACCCTGTTGAAGAATTTGCCTGGTATCGAGCGAAGAGTGATGCATCTGTAGTTCTCACACTTACTAAGATCGCCTTTCTTTGTTATCTTGATCAGATTTCCTTCTTTGGAGTCAGTTGGCACTTGTTCCTCATCGCAAATATTGCTGAACAGGATGTGTAGTGTCTTTGCAGTTGTTGCTACATCTGCTTTCAGTGCCTCAGCTGGAGCGTCTTCTGATTCTGCCACTTTGGCGCCTCCAAATTTACCTATTTTCTTTGACTGTGAATTTCTGCTCGGTTTTGAGCTGCCAGTAATCTCTTGGTTAAAACATCGGATTGATATTTCTTATACCGAAGTTTCACAGAATGACGTCCGACACATTCATTTGCGCTACAATTACATTCAGTTCACTGATAACCTTCGTATGGACAAAATTTCTCGTCATCCACCATATACCGAACAAGGAGACGAATGCTGGTTTTCGGAGCTGCATTCTTGTCATCACCCGGAATCTTTCTGTGTGGTGACCGGCTTTTGCTTTCCGTCATAGAAGAGTATCATGTTTTAGGTTCATCAGTCTCTGACATTCACCAACCTACTTCTTTTAGCATTATGTTTGGAAAATGTTCGATTTTACTTAGAGTACTTGTTCTGATTTTAGTATTTTCCGGAGATTACAGGTTGCATACAAACACAAGTCATTTAACGTGATCTTC